CCTAGCAACAAAATGATTCTTTTCTCAGATTCCCATTGCCCACATTTTTAAAGTAGATAAGAAGTAGTAAGTAACTTTACTACTAGGTAAGTAAGACTGTTAAGTCTTAAGTAAGGCAAGACGACTATTGTTGCTGCTGTTGTGTTGCTTGTTTGTTTGAGACACAGTCTCACTGTCATCCAGGCTGGAGCGCCGGGCATGATCTTGGCTCACTGCACCTCTCGGGCTCAAGCAATTCTTCTGCCTCAGCCTCCCAGAAGCCTGTTTTTCAGCTCACTGTTGCAAGTAGCTGGACTTCCCTTTCTTTGACTGTGACCTCGATGGCCTTTGTGCATGTTGTGAAGGAAGTAGAAGTAATTGGAGAAATGGAGGCTACAGGAGGAAGTGAGGGAGATACTCATGGAAAGTCTTCATGTGCTCACAAAAACAGCAGCCTTTGGATTTGAGAGGGTGACATTTATTTGCCCTCTTGACATAAGGTAGTAACTTCTGGAGAACTTAAGGCTTGGAGTGAGAAGTCACAAATGGCAAAGGAAGAATTTTCCCTGCTTCCAAAGGGGTGCTAACTCAAAAAAAGCAAGTTGTTAAAAGGGCCACAGAGTGAGGTCCTCTGCAGGTGAACAAACTGCTCCAGAAGGCACCAGAAAATTTGGCTCTGGGGCGTAATGGGGATAAAAAGGGTACAGTAAGTCATAAGGAGTTGGCAGAGCTGGGATTCCCATTAGTATCTGTCCTGGCAATGTTCCAGCAGACAGGGGAAGCGTTGGTGGTCATCTGAGCTGGTTGGGTGAGAGCAAGTGTAAATCTCAGGGGATATCCAGAAGGGAGCCCATGTCTTTGCTGCTACGCAAACACAGACAGAGCCATGGGCCACAGCAAGAGCCATGGACACACGAATAACAGGTGTGTGTCTAAGAAGTCACATGGCATGCAAAATGAAAACAGAAAAGGCAGACTTGCCCCTGAGCTGGGTGGTTCAGTGGGTGTGCAAGGCCATTTCAGAAGACAGAAGAATAGGCATTGCGGGTTTTGGGGAAAGAGCCAATAGTAGCTGAAAAAACAGAGGAAGCTACAGACATTGCCAGTCTCAGGCTTTAGCCCTATGACTCATGCAAGCCTCCTGTCCAGGGAGGCTGAGAGGAATTGTTCTAGGGGTTGGTTAGTAAGAAGGAGAGCAAAGGGGAGAAGAAAACCACATAAGAGGGTTGAATACCTTCAGCCAAAGAAGGCGAGGAAATCTCTTACCGCCAGAGAACATATCTGAGTCACAGGACCAAAGTACATTAGCGTCCCTTCTCCCTTGATTCTTCCCTTGGGGTGGGCTATCTGCGTGCACAGTGGTCTGCTAGCACTTGGGAGGGGCCGCACATGCAGTGTGTTCACTGGAGTTATATGCATGCTCACTTGAGGCGTTCTTCTTCCATTTTGTCTGTTTTTGAGACAGAGTCTCTCTCTGTCTCCCAGGATGGAGTGCAGTGGCGCGATCTTGGCTCACTGCAACCTCCGCCTCCTGGGTTCAAGCAGTTCTTGTGCTTCAGCCCCGAGTAGCTGGGATTACAAGCTAATTTTTGTATTTTTAGTAGAGATGGAGTTTCACCATGTTGGTCAGGCTAGTCTGGAACTCCTGGTCTCAAGTGATCCATCTGCCTCTGCCTCCCAAAGTGTTGGAATTACAGGCATAAGCCACCATACCTGGCCAGGTGTCCTTCTCTTACCAGTCGAGTGTTCCTAGAGGAATGTGATAACACCAGTTAAACTTGCCCTTTTTCCTCTTAGTGTGCACGTGTGAGCCCACTCACACAACTCCTGAGATCTTATTGGGAAGCTGCTGATCACCAGTTTCAGATTTTTCTATGTATTTGGAGACTGCCTTTCCCTGGTGCTGGCCGCGACCAAGTATTATTTTAGAGAGGCACTTTAACAATGGCCTGACCATCACCTGATGGTTGCCTGTCATTACCGGTGGCGTGGGAGGCTCTCTCCCGCCCTGCTCATGTCTGCCCGACTACCTACTGTAACATTAGCCACCTGTTCTCATCAATTCTGTCTCCTGGGAGATATACCCTGTTCCTATCTTTGCTCTAATTTTTGGAGGGAAAATTCGTTGGAATGACTTGGCTTTCTCTCACTCTTCATGCACTACCAAAGCTGTGCCCGCTGTGGCATGCAAGGCCCTGCTTAACCTACCAGAATATCTGTCTTCTGTCGTCAGCTCAGTTCCATACTCCTCCTTGAACACTTGTGGGCTACACAAGACCCCATATTCTCTGAGTTCCTAATTTCAGATTGGCATAACTCTCATAGTGTTTCTTATGTGTTTTCAATTTCTTGTAGGCACATTGCAGACTCTTTGATAGAAATGAGCTGTAAGATGTCCCTGTTTGCTGAGCTGTGGGGCACTGGGACCAATTGAGAGCTGTGACACACCCCCGTTTACTGAGCTGCAGGCAGCAAGACTGAATAAGAGCTGTGACATGCCCTCGTTTGCCGAGCTGCAGGTGGCAGGAACGAGAGAGAGCTATAACATTTCTTGGGGTTTCAGGCCTTGGGACTCCCCAGACAAATGCTATAGCACCCCTTGGGGCTCCATAGTTGCTGGCAACTCCGCGTTTCTTAAAGCCATTGTGTTTCCCTCATTTAGACACTGTTGCCTAAGGTGGAAGCAGGTCACGGCACGCTTCCTTACTTTTAGTAGAGTTGGGGTTTTGCCATGTTGCCCAGGCTGCCTGCTCCAACCACTGGCTGAGTGTGGATCCCATGGCTCAGGCGTTCAAGACCAGCCTGGGGCAACATGGTGAGACCCCATCTCTACCAAAAAAAAAAAAAATCAGCCAAGCTTAGTGGTCACTGCACTACAGACTGGGTGACAGAGCAGGAGCCTGTGACTTCCTACCCCAAAAAAGAAAATATAACATTAATTTACAGTGTCTCTTTTAAAAAAAAATTTAACACAATGTTATCTTTTTCTTGCTGAAGGAGCAGGGTTGTGTCCCATCAATTTGCCCGGAAAAAATACACAGTTCCAAAGTGTGACCCATTTGACCAAGAGGAATTTGATTGTGGTGCTGTCCTCAATTTTGCTTTGCAGGGTTCTTTCTTTTCACCTTTATGTTTTTCTTCCATTTATTTTCACTTGACACATAATAATTGTACATATTTATGGGGTACAGAGTAATATTTTGATACATGTATACAATGTGTAATGATCAAGTCAAAGTAATTAGGATACCCATCACCTCAAGCATTGATCATTTCTTTGTGTTGGGAACATTCAAAATCCTCTCTTCTAGCTTTTTGAACATACACAATAAATTATTCTTAACTATATTCACTCTGTAGTGCTACAGAACACTGGAACTGATTCCTCTTCTCTAGCTATAACTTTGTATCCATTAATCAACTTATCCCCATCCTCCATTCCCCCCTGCCCTTCCCAGCCTCTAATAAGCACAATTTTACTCTTTACTTCTATGAGCTCATTTATTTTAAGCTTCCATATACGATGGGGAACATGTGGTATTTATCTTTCTGTGCCTGATTTATTTCACTTAACGTAATGTCCTCCAGGTTTGAGGATTGAGGAGAGCAGACATTTTATTATTCATCTCCATGTCGAGAATCAGAAATGTCCCCAGTCAAAAAATGATTACAAATGTGTTATATCAGGAACTGTGGCTTGCCTATGGGTCCTGGGTGGGCAAATAACTAGATTCAATAGGAATGGGCTTGAAATTTCTTAGACCATGATGTGATTTGGCTGTGTCCGCACCCAAATCCCACCTTGAATTGTAATTCCCATAATCCCCACGTCATGGGAGCGGCCCAGTGAGAAGTAATTTAATCATGGGAGCTGTTACCCTCATGCTGTTCTCATGACAGTGAGTGAAATCTTACCAGATCTGATGGTTTTATAAGGGGCTTTCCCCACTGTTGCTTGGTGCTTCTCCTTCCTCCCACCATGTGAAGAAGGATGTATTGGCTTTCCCTTGTGCTGTGATTGTAGATTTCATGATTCCTCCCCAGCCATGCTGAACTATGAGTCAATTTCCTCTTTCCTGGCTGGACACAGGCTTATGCCTGTAACCCTAGCACTTTAGGAGGCTGAGGCAGGTGGATCACTTGAGGTCAGGAGTTTGAGACTAGTTGGGCCAACATGGTGAAACCCTACTAAAAATACAAAAATTAGCTGGGCATGGTGGTGCCTGCCTGTAATCCCAGCTATTCGGGAGACTGAGGCAGGAGAGATGCTTGACCCGGCAGGTAGAGGTTGCAGTGAGCTGAGATTGCACCACTGCACTCCAGTCTGGATTACAGAGCGAGACTCTGTCTCAACAACAAAAACAAAAACAAAACAAAACAACGCCCCCTTTCCTTTATAAATTACCAAGTCTGGGTATGTTTTTATTAGCAGTGTGAGAACATACTAATACAGACCACAAAGGTGGGGAATCCATTATTTTGGGCCAAGTAATCTTACTTTTCTTCCAATGTTCAGTGCATAGACTGATGTCAAGCTTCAAACAGTGAATTATCATAAAGGAGGAAAAGCTAGAGGGTGGCACTGAGAATAAGAGATGTCGCACTAGGGCTGTGTGGGTCTGATTTCCCTTTCCCAGACTTTCTGCTATGAATGACACCTACCCAGGCTTGAGTGAGTACCTCCTATGTCTTAGCGCCTGAATTAATCAGCAATCCCTGCCTGGAAATCAAAGGCAGAGATTCTCTATCAGAGTCCCTTAATCTTTTCTGAGCCCTGACTGCCCCCCTGAGAGTCCAGCAGAAGCTATGAATCTTCTCCCTACGGAAAAGCACTCATATACGTTCAAACAAAATTAGTCTGTTTCCTTTCTGTTTCTTAGTAAAAAAAGTTTACAAGGCTTCCTGTTTTGGTTTTTGGGGCTCCACGTAAGTGTAGTGGGTGGAGAGAAAAGCTCAGTGAGTATTTTCCTCTAACCGTATTTGGTAGGTTCCCTTTTTAGCCCTGATCCTTTTCTCCCCAGGCTCTCCACTGTCTGCTTTATTCCTGGAAAGTGCTGGAAGGAAGCATGTGCTCCAGAGGTTGGGATCGGCATCTGGCTCTGGAACTGCCACTGCTGCATCTGTTAGTCCTCGCTGCCAGCATTCAAGGTACTTTCCACCAGCCGTCTGCCTGTGATTGTGCCTGAAGGCATGTCTGCTGGGAACGGGGAGATACGATGTGGTTCAGCCCTGGAAGCGGGATTTGGGGTCTGGAAAGCAGGTATTTCCATTCCGGTAGCAGGGCCATGGCATGGCAGGGAGCCTTCCTGAGCACTGAAGAATTGAGCTTCATCTCCTTTCCCAAGGGGATGTGACCGAAGCAGGACTCTGGGGAGAAGGAGAAATAGGCCCCTCATATTTTGTCTCATGGTTGGTGGTCCATGAAGTTATGGGAACGTGTTTGTTTTTGCATTTTAAATAAGAAGAAGCTGCTACATTTTGTGTTCCGACATGCTGTAATCCCTTAGGCATTCTTGGAGGCCACTGTGTATGTGAGGCTTTGTGTTCTGGGCCAAGATAAATGATATTGTCATTGACCCGAATAAAAGATAGATCAGAACTGTAGGAAGAAAAGCTTGGAAAGGATTGCCACCTGGGGTCTCTGAATGAGGGTCTTAGAAGAGGCTAGAAGTATATCGGGATCAAAGGAATCTTAACACATCTGACTGCTAAGAGTTAAGGTCCGTTCCTCTGAGAGCTAACTTTCCTTTTCCGTTAGAGCTGCCTCACCCTCTTTCTTCATCCAGTTCCTGTGTTCTTTTGCCAGGTGAGAAATAGCAGTGAAACTTTCGACTTTCTTGCTATTCCTCCAAGTAAATACTCAGGTCTTTTTACTTTAAAGGGCATTAATGCTCACCACTATGAGTAAAACAGTAAAAATGAACAAACATAGGATAGTTACACCGTGGCATAAAATGATGATGGAGTGTAACTTTTAGGGAGATGAGATAGAATGTGTGGAAGATGGGCTCTCACATACTCTGCCTCTCAGGTTGGCAGTCTTTTGGTTCATGACTGTGTGAGTCCACAGCTGTATGGGTTCTGTGGGGCTGACTCAATGCATAGGACACTGGTATGGCCTTGGGAGTGGGGGGCTGACATGAAGTATTCATCTAACTATTGGCAAAAACAGCGTTGCCAGTGAGAACTGGAATATTTCAGGACTTTCTCTGGGCATACTGAAAATGTTCTGGTAGTTAACCATCCCTAGGCTTCATCTTGGTCATTGATTCTTCTTTGATTGAAACATGCAGACCCCACCTGCTTATGTTATCCTTTGAATGGATGATATTGGTTTTGAATGAGGTTAGGTTATCTATTTCTATAACCTAGGTTAGTAAAATACAGATTCAGCATTTACTGTCTGTCAGACATTGTGTTAGGCATTTTGCATACTTTTTCATTTAACTTTCATAGAAAATGGTGAGGTGGCTATTATTATCTACATTTTTCAGATGAGAATATTATCTTTCAGAGAGATTAAGAAATTCGTCTAAGAGCACACAGGTCTAACTTCCAAACCATTTTATTACAAGTATGCTTTTCCTAGCAGGGAATCTTGATGAAGGTCAATGTGTCTAAATCTCTTAATTTTACAGTTTGCCTTAAAAGAGGTGTTTTCTCTTGCCTCTGGGCTTATGTCCATACCTTCTTTCCACCTAGATTTTCCTTCCTCCCCTCTCTTCCTGCCTATCTTTTGGGCTTCCATTTTCATGTGACTTCTTCCTGGACTGTTTGCCTGTGACTGTGTTCCGAAGACATGGTCACACGGGAACCTCCGGCTCCATATGGTTTGTGATCATCTGTTTCCTAAACCTGCTGAGGACAGAAACACGTGCAGTGTTGTGCCGCTGAACTTAGCACAGTGCCTGGGGCATGGCATGTGCTCAATATATAACTGTTAAACAAATGAATGAACAACTTCAAAAAACTTCCTTTTGGACTCTACATCCATATCTTCCCGGAAAGTGAAGTAGTTCTCTCCTCTGCAGTAAAGGATGCCTCTGTGGAAAAGTTTGAGAAGAGCTCTTAGCTCTCTTCTTCCTTCTCTCCTCAGACTTGGATTTCTCGGCTCTTTGGTTTCAAGGCAATGATTCAGGGCACACTCCACAACCAGGCAATTCCCTATCTGCCTACAATACTCAGCAGGATAGAGGAGAAATAGTATTGTACTAGAAATACGATTTCCTCAGTTCTATAATGGATGTAATAATCTGTTCCTCATATCTTCAAGGGGTTGCTATTAAGATCAAATAAAATAAAAAATTTGTGGGCCGGGCGCGGTGGCTCACACTTGTAATCCCAGCACTTTGGGAGGCCAAGGCAGGTGGATCACTAGGTCAGGAGTTCAAGACCAGCCTGGTCAAGATGTTGAAACCCCATCTCTACTAAAAATACAAAAATTAGCTGGGCGTGCTGGCACGCGCCTGTAATCCCAGCTACTCAGAAGGCTGAAGCAAGAGAATCGCTTGAACCTGGGAGGCAGAGGTTGCAGTGAGCTGAGATGGTGCCATTGCACTCCAGCCTGGGTGACAGAGTGAGACTCCGCCTCAAAAAAAAAAAAAATTGCAATTGCTTTGAAATCATGACACGCACACAAGCTGATACAGATGAAAGCCTGGGAAGAGCATACGTAAATTCCTAAGCCCAAAGTAGTTGCCTGAGGCCAAGACCTGAATTTCTATCTCTTAAACATCTTCTCTAGACTCTCCAGACACACGTCTAAAACTTGACTCATCATCCCTATTCCCGATATGTGTTGCTGTTTAACAAGCTGCCACAATACCGTGGCTTAAAGTAATAGCAATGATACTTTGCCCACAGATCTGGGGGAAGACTGTACATTATGTCTTACTCAGGGCTTTTCATGTGCTTGCAATCAGATCACGGTGTGGCCTAGGGTCATGCAGGGCTCTTCACTCACAGGGCTACCGCCTGAGCTGAGGGAGACTCAAAGAGCTGGGTGGCTGGCATCACCCAGCACAAGTCTCCCAAGAGAAACAGGCAAACGGTACGTAGTGTTTTCTAAGCTAGCTTCCAGGTCACACTCTGCTGTATCCCATTCATTGAGGCCATCACCAAGCCTACTCGAGTTCAAGGAAACGGGGCACAAAGTCCATCATCTGATGAGAGGACTGTCAAAAAATTTACAGACTTAAAAAAAAAAAAAACAAAACTGTAATCCTTCTTTCCCCAAACCTACTGCTCCTCAACTGTTCCCCACCTCTATAAATGGCATCTCCACTTGCCCAGTTGCTCAGGCCAGAATGCTAGGAGTCATCCTTGATTCTTGTCTTTCCCTTGATTCTCATGCCTGATGTGTAAGTCCAGTTAATTCTATTTTCAAAAATATCTCTCAAATATGTCCAATTCCGTGTACCCCCATGCTACCTATCAAGCCACCATTTTCTGTTATCACCAATTTCCACAATGATCTGCTATCCTACTGCTCTATGGACTGCATTCTCTCTAGCTAACGTGTTCTCTACCCTGCTGTGAGTATACATTGACCAAAATGGTTCTCTGTTTAGTTCACTCTTCTGCTTAAAACTCTTCAGTAGCCGCTGTGGGAGATGAGAAAGCAGAAGTGGTGAGTGTAAAGTTTACATTTTGTAATAAGCTCCCTTCCTGCCCGCCTTAGTCTATGTTTTAACCAGTGAGCTACTTTCTGTTCCATAAATAAATCTCGTTTTGGTGTCTCTGGGCATTTAATTCTTTTCCCTTCTTGTTGGAATATTCACTACCCCCAGTCCTCACCTTTCCCTGGCTTAATCCCACTCAGACTAATTCCTCTTACAGAAGCCATTCTCAACCCCCAATTTCAAGTGATGTGCTCCCTTTGATATGCCCTCTAAGCATTCCATATTTTCCCTTTCCTAACACTTACCGTCAGTAGTGAAAGCCTCTGATTAATTGTGTTGATTCACTGGACTGGAAGCTCAAGGGAAGGAGCTGCATCCATCTCTTGTGTGCATACAGAGACTAGCAGATAGTAAGTGCTTCCTGTGTAGCTACGAGATGAGTGAATGCATGAGGAAGTTCATGTACACACGTATGCGTGGAGAGGCGGGTGAATGGAGGGAGGAAGGGAACAAAGGAAAGAGGGAAGGAGTAAATTTTGAGTCATTGTTTCAGTCAAGCTGGGGTCTCAGAGTAGCTCTTACTGGCTCTAATAAATTCTTCCTCCCATTTCCCACAGTGACTATTTCAAACCTTCACCCTTATCCTCAAGGCCCGTTACCTCAGTCCTCTGCCCTCTCAGCAAAGCACGTGCCTCCTTCTTTGCAGAAGAAATGGAAACTAGAGACCATTAGGCAGGAGGCCCTTCAACTTCCTACCCACTATCTTCAAACTAGTAGCTTCTCTCCACCGCCTCCTCCACCTTTCCTCCTCCTCTTTTCCCTCCAGGGAGGAAGTATCTCTCCTCCCAGTCATCAGTGCTGCTCTGAGCCCCACTAGCCCAGGCTCAGCAATCACCTCCCTTCTCTTCATGTGTTCCCTCCACTGGATCCTTTCATTGGCCTACCATAGCTTAGGTTTTTTTCCCTTTTTAAATACCACTAAGAACAAAAACAAAACACTCTCTACCTTTTCATGACCCTTTACATAATGCCCTACCATTTTTTTTTCCCTTTCAAATGGGAATGTCTTAAGAGAAGAGTCTGTTTTTATTGCTTCTCCTTCCTCACCTTTACACTGCATTGCAGTATTGCCTACTGAACTCATTATACTTCCCATCTCAGAAAATAGTAGCCCACTCAGCCTCTCACCAAGACACAAACCTGGGGTCTTGGTAGCTATTGCCAAATTACTTTCTAAAAACGTTTGTATAGGCTTGCTAAATATTTAATCTTATGAGAGAGCTCCAGGTAACTCTATCTCCACATCTTTAAAGCTCATCTTCTTTTCTTCCTTAAGAATTTTACTAGAAACCATGTGCTTTGTTTTTATTATTTCTATTTTTCTCAATATACAAGAAAACCAAAGAAGCCAACCATGTGTCTTGTTTTTTTGGAGTAACCAGAACTTACTCTTTAAAACCTTTCTCTTTCCTGGGGAGTCTCTTTGGTATGGCATTATGACTTCCTTTGACCTGATTTTTCTCCCCT